AATTGAAAAATAATATATATAAAAAGTAAAAATTACCTTATATATTTATATGTATATTATTGTTGTATATGATAGGCCTCAGGTATAGCCAATTAAAGTCCACCAATACTTCTAAATATAAAAGGGAATGGAAAATTACATACATTTATATTTTTCAAAAAGAAATTCTTCTTTTATTAAAAAAAATTCAAGAAATTTTGAATTGGCCTACTAACCTGGCAGCATAGATTTGCGTGAGTTGAATGTATGTCACTCCATCCTGTACAAATTCTGGTATAGGTTACTATACTGTCCACCATATATAGCATTACTAGGGTGATGCAATCACCAATTAACTGTGCATGTCAATCAGGAGAGATGCAAAATAGAAGGAGGGACAAAAGGAAGAGCAACCATGAAGTGAAGATGAGAGAAGGATTTTGTACTGACAATTACTACCAACATTCATAAAAATTCATAAACAACACGTACAGATTTCATGCAAAGAGCAGGTCCAATCATCACAAACAGCAAGTCCAGTCAACTTCCTCATTAAGTCCATATGGTGCCCATGTTTTTAATTTACTAATCCAGAACAGTTCTCTTCTCAGGAGTATTCTGTGTATATTCTGGCCTGAAGTCTTCACAGTCTCTATAATCCAAAATTTTAATTGATGGTAGGAGTGCCCCATTTCGATGTAGTATCTCACCATAGGAGCCGAGTGCTTTTGCAGTTTAAGGCAGCTGTGATGCTCACATATTCTAATTTTCACAGATCTGCTTGTTTGTCCTAGGTACAACTTGGCACAAGGGCATTCCACACAGTAAATAACCCCTTTGCTTTGACAGTTGGCAAACATATTAATAGAATAAGTTTTAGTTCTGGCTGTATTTTGAAAGAATTTCTTAGGCTCTGCATACCCACAAACAGAACAATTATTGCAAGGGAAGAAGCCGTTTGGTATGTGACTCCCACGTATGGTATCTGTGTCTTGCTCCACACTCACCCTGCATCTAACAAGCATATCCTTCAGATTCCTAGCTCTTTTTGCTGTTACCAGGGTGTTTTTTTTTCATCTGGGTATGTTAGCTAACAAGTGCCAATATTTATTAATGATAGTTGTTACAGGTTTATAAGCACTATTATATGTGAGAGGTATAATAATCCTGTCTTTGCTTTGATTATGGGTTTTGGGTGTCAGTAGAGATGTTCTTGTTGTATTATATGCTCTGTAAAATGCCCTTTTTAAATTTCTCTGTGAGTAGCCTTTATCTGAAAGTTGGCTCATCAGAATACCAGCCTGTCTCTTAAAGTCACTAATCTCACTACAATTCCTCCTCAATCTCAATAATTGCGAATAGGGCAGATTCTTTTTAATGTGGGAAGGATGAAAACTAATAATGCAGCCAACATGAGTTTCTTTTCTGATTTTAGTTAACATACACTCAGCAGTAATGGGTATTTCTGCAACTTATACAAATATTTTAGGGTTTTTATTATGTTTATAAACCTGCATTTCAACCAACATTGGCTGTCATGCTTGTAGCAGGAACTCCTTTGCATATTAGGCGACACACCCCTAATGTAGCCAATCCTCCAAGAGCTTAAAGTCCAGAAGAGCTCTGTAAGTTCTTGGAGGGGGTGTGTCACCTAATATGCAAAGGAGTTCCTGCTACAAAAAGAGCCCTGCTTGCAACTAAAATCCATCAGAAAAATAAAATCTATTGGGAATATGTAGGTTTATATATCACAATGTCTGCTGGGGCCCTGGCAACTGATGACATCATCCAGTTTCAAGGGTTTTCCCTTCAGGGAGAACATAGAATAGGAGGAGGTCGAGTTGATAATAAAGATGATCATCTGCAGAGGCAACTGTTCTATTGGAATGGCAGACTGTTCTGCACTTTAGCTGTGTAACCATATTGGTACATAATGATATGCTAGATATGACAGCTTGTAGAAGTTTGTGCTTTATTTCTGGGGACTGTGCACCACGTTTGCAATTGTGTAGTGAATGTTTGCAACCATAGTCAAAGCAGAGAGCCAGTGATGTGGGGGGGCATGTGTAAGGCAAGCAGATAGCTGACAATGAGGGCAGGCAGAAGGTGAGCTGAGAGCTGAAATAAGAGATGGGATGGAAGGGCGATAAAGCTTTAGAAGGGAGGAGCAGAAAAGGTGGAAAAGGAAAACAAAGGTGGTGAAAATGAGGAAAGGTAAATGAATGGGGAGAGAGGCAGCCTAGGAGAAACAGAAAAGGGTAGATATGTAAATGCACAGGTGGGTGGGAGAGAAGGAAAGGCGAGAGGCTGCAAGCAAGGATGGAGAGGAAAAGAAAAAAAACCTTGAGGGAGAGAAGGGGGGTAGTCAGACGCTTCTTGTACCCTCTTGCAAGTCACCTCATGTCCTCCACTTGTCTTTATTCTGGTAGCCAAGTGAGCCAGATCTGGTAATACTTATATTCAGTGATTGGACCCATGAATGGACAAGACCGATCTTTCCACAAACCTGAACAATGCCCCAGGTTTGCAGAAAAATCTGAAATATTTTTTAATTTTTTAAAAAAATCCTAAATGATAAAAGGAGTGCCTGTAGCTTTAAAAAGCAGGTGGTCTCAATGGCTCTTGCTTATACAACCACAGCAGGCTTTGTTTCTGTCAGCCGGAGGGGGCACACAGCATGCTTGTTCCCTGTGCAACACCAGGGAAGCAGCACCCAGCCCACGTAAGGCATGGGGAATTGCACCCAGCCCACTCGAGCCCTGTGTGAAGCAAAGAAATTGGTATGCAGCCAGCTGGCTAGACAGGCGCCTCTTTCTTCTTCTACCCTTTGGGATGGTGGGACAGTGTCGGTCTGCCTTTTCCTTTCTCCTTCCTTCCTGGAGATGGGGCTGTGGTTGCTGGAGGCCCCTATTCTTGGAGGTTTAGTTCTCAGTCCACCACTTCTCTGCAGATAAAATGCAGGAGAGGAGAATGATGTCAGCTGCTTTGGGTCCCAATTGTGAAGAAAGGTGGGATGAAGTATTTTTTTAAAAAAAAACAGAAGATGGAGTGTGTGGGTGTGAATCAGGAAAGAATAAGTATATAGAGGTTACCAGGAGGAGGGAAAAAGGAAATAGTGCGCGGAGGTAAAAAGGGAAAATGAGGTCCCCCTTCACAATTCCTTGCTACCAGCACCTTATAAGCAGGCTGCAGTTTTTCTGGGTAGAGGCTGCCAGAGGTAGGGAAGGAGGGAAAACTGAAGACACAGCAGGAGAGAAGGAGACAGGAAAAAGTGGAGAGGCTATTGGGGCTTTCAGAGAAATGAAAGAGGAAATGGTGGAGGAGGGGAAAATGAGATATCCCCCCCCCCCCGGTAAGTCCTTGCAGATTTCCATATATTAATATGTATGGGTGTTGGATTCCAGGCACTTTTTTGTCTGAATAGTTAGTCATTTTGATTAAAAAGAAATATCAAACTTTCTTTTTTATGTATTGAATTAAAATTATATTTAATAAATTTTATCTCTGCAGATACAGAAATGCTATGCTGAAAAGTATATGTGAAGTTCTTGATTTGGAAAGATCGGGAGTAAATAGTGAACTGGTAGCCAGAATCTTAAACTTCTTGATGCATCCAAAACCTTCAGGCAAGGTGAACTGAGATAAATATGTTTTTTAAGTCATTTTTGTAATATGAATTAGCATTAGGAAAGGGAAAGGAAACTCTGGAAAGATGTTCATGTTTTTAATATCTAGATTCTGGTCCAGTAGCACCTTAGAGACCAACAAGATTTTGAGGCTATGGACTTTTGAGAACCAAAGCTAGATACCCTGATGAAAGGAACTTTGACTTTCAAAAGCTCATATCCTCAAAATCTTGTTGGTTGCTAAGGCGTTACTGGACTCAAACTCTAGCTGTTCTACTGCAGACCATCGTGGCTACCCTCTGAAAGATGGTTTTAATATGTAATGTTTCCTTTTATCGTCAAGAGTATATGTGAACAACTTTGAGCTACTAGCAAGGATCTCCTAACTTTTATGTTTTCACTTGTGGAAAACCCAGGGGAGTGGAGGAAACAACTAAATAAAAGGCAGAAATGGTGAAAGCTAAGATTAGCATTATCTTAATAACAATAGCATAAAAGCTGAATTGCACAGTAGGGTTGCCCCTGGGGATATTTTATAAAGGGATTATACCTGACAGCTATTACGATTATGCTATAGTTGAGGGTGTTTTTCAGAAATCTGGCACTTGACATTCAAACAAATTAAGAAAGAGATTATGGAATGCAGTGGATAATGGCCATAAAACTCAAAACAGGGAATGGGTCCCCTCCTTGATTTTGTGTCTACTTCCTAGAATTTTTCAGTAAGTGCTGTGAAACTGAATGCCTGGGAGCCATCATTGCCCAGAGAAGAAATGTGATTAATAACTCACGTCTTATTAAATCCAACACTACAGATCTTGCTGCTGAAAACAAGGCAGTATTGCACTTGCCAAGCTTTATTTAAAATATTTTCTACTACTTTTCTTCTGTGTGTATACAAAACAGTTTAAAGAAGTAAAATCAATGTGATCAAATGATAGCTAGGTAGAAGAAATAGAGTACATAAATCAGTCACATGGGACAGCAATAAGTAGCAGAGCGGGAAAAGGGTCCACAAGCACCAGTGAGTTTTCCTGGTGGCTAAACAATAATAAGAATGCCCCAAGCAAGCTTCCCGGCAAGGATCCTTTTGTCTGATAGTCAGGGTGCTGCTATAATACCTTTTCCTGCAGCCACCTACCTGTCTTCAAGAGAAAAGGAACAACTGTAGTTTCTGGATTGCCCGTCAAGTCCAAGACTATTGAGCAGTTTGAATTGTGCTGGAAACAAGCTGGGAGCCAGTGAAGTTTTATGTATAGATGTAATATGCTCATTATAGAAGACTCCAATTTGTCAGCTACTTGCCCTCTGTAGTATTTTCAACCAATTGAAGTTTACAGAGTGTCTTCAAATGCTACATAGCATACAAAGCATTACAGTAATTGTGTGGAATTTTCTGAAGCACAGATAACTGTTGAAATAGTGACTTCCCAAAAGGAAGCAAATTTGGCAATACCTGCTGCAGTTAAAAAGAGGGGCTCCATGCTAATTGACCATCCTTAAATAGTGCTATATCTAGGAGCACTACCATGCTCTGGACATGGGGTTGTATCTAGCATAGCATTTCCATGGGCACAAGGACTTCTGCCTGTAGAGTGTAAATTTCTCAGCGCCCCCCCCCCCCATCCTGTTGCTGAGTTAGGATTTCCATGTGCTGAAATTCTGTTCTGGATCAAAGCTATAATCTTTAAAGTGAAGTTTAGTTTAGTTCCATGAATACCACATTAATGGTTTACTGAATTGCCCACCAACAGGTCATCTGGTTTGATAGCAGCATTGATTATCCTCAACCAGTGATTTTGTGTGGGTTCAATGGATTTGTGCTTAAACGATATCCTGGGATCCCATTGTATTTTAAAATGATTTATTAGCGCAGGGTTACACTTTAAGATGATTGCAGTCTGGGCAATTTTCCCCTTATGGTTTGCTTAAGTATGTGCTAATATTTCTATGGAATTGTACTCCTAAATGTTTCAATATTTTATAGCCATTACCAAAATCCAAGAAAACACCCAGTAAAGGTGGTAAAAAAGAACGCAGTAGCTCTGGAACAGCAAGAAAAGCCAAACACACCAAATGTCCTGAGATCCTCTCAGATGAATCTAGTAGTGAGGAAGATGAAAAGAAGGAAGAGGATGAATCATCTGAAGAAGATAAAGAAAGTGAAGAGGAGGTAAATGCTATAAATACTAGAGAACAGGGGTGTCAAACATGCAACCCATGGGCTGGATGTGGTCCACAGAGGGCTCAAATCTGGCCCCTGAGCAACTTCCTTCTCCTGCTTCTGTTCCCAGGGCTGCTCCTGCAGCTGCACTGTAGCTTGCTTTTTCCCCAGCTCCATTGTGGCTTTTTGCTTGCTGCCTGTTGCCTCCCATCCCCCCCTCCCCCCCCTCTCTCTCACACACACAAACACAGAGAAAGAGAGAGAGAGAGAGCTTCTGCTACCTTCTCCAGGGCTGCTCCTCCTCTTCTGGGGAGGGAGGGGAGGAGAGAGAAAACAAAGTTGGAATCCCATTTCAGCTTCAAGACCAACAGTGTTTTATTCCAGGTGTAAGCTTTTGTGTGCAAGCATACTTCTTGGGAGGGAGGGGGTGGGTGTGTGGGTTCTTCTGACAAGCACAATGTACATTAAGGAAATTATTTTGGCTTATTCTGAAAAGTTGTTTGTTTTTTAAAGGTTGGATTTCTCTGTTTATATCTGGATTTTTTTTCCAAAAAGAGCCTGGTAGGAATTAGAACACTTGGATTGGTCCTTATATCTTGGAGAGTGGAGTGATTTCAGATGCCTAATGATGATGGAACACATTGGTAGTAAGACAGGAAAACTAGCTCTCAGTTCAGTCCAGGAGGATGCACTGTCTTGAGCTTCATTATCAGTTGCAATTCAGCAGTCTCCCTTTCTAAATCTCCCTTTGAAATTCCTTTGTAAGCGCACTGCTGCTTTAGGTCAGCAATTGAATGTTGTGGTTTTTAATGTCAGACTTATGTCCATTTATTGTTTGCATCTTCCTGGACTGAATCCTCCTAGATGGAATTGAGACCTAGGTTTCCTGTCTCATTACCAATGCTGGTCTCTCCATGCCTACTTCCCCTCTGCATATCACACCTTATCCAATCAAGCCTGTAGTGTCATTCACCTGCTATTGCCATTTGACATCTGAAATCACCTTTATAAAGTTTATATCTCTGGATTACCTTGTGTTACATTTTATGGCACGCATGGCCCAGCCCAACAAAGTGACATTTATGTCAGATCCATCCCCCATAACAAATGAGTTTGACACCTTGGCTATAGAAGATAACACTGCAGTAGGCTCACTTGGAGGGGTGGGAGGCAGCATTGTTACAGAAGAAAATCCTATAGTGGAGTAATGCCTTTCTCCTTAATTGTAAAGAATTATTTGTCTTGAATTTCTGCCATTCTTTCTTTATAGTCATGACTGGAATTGAGGAAACCACGTTTCTAAACTACTGGGTTCTAGGAAGTACAGATATAAATTACTAATCCCAAAATGTGACTTTAGGAGAAATTATGCCAGTAAAAGAGTAGATACTAACCTCAAGCTTGTAGGGTTTTCCTGTGTATCTTAACTTTTTTTAGTACCTTGTAAAATGAGGGGACCATTCTCTAGCACTGCATCAACTATGGGTGGCATCCAGGCTCTTACAACAGAGCAAGCTTGTAGAAATGGATTTTACCCAACTTCCTCTTCCCCCTCCTGCTCAGAAGTCCCCTATTCTTCCATTCCAGTCACCGTTGCTGTTGTTCAGAGGTGGCTGTAGAACTTAGGCCATGTTGCACTAGGGGAGAGTGGGTAGCTAAAAATATTAATTGGCTGAAGTTTGCATGAGTGGAGCAAACTCTGTGGAGCAAAAGTTCAAGCAGGAGTTAGGGGATGACTTTCAACTCTTCCTCCGGTCTTTGTGTGACATACTATTTGGAAGGGTCCCTTGATTCTCAACATTGGGTTTTTTTCTGTGGAGCAAAGGGGATGCAAGATGAAGGAGAAAATGGGAAATATTGAACATGTTATCTGCTATCACAGGAGTTTGGATCCCATCCGTTATATTAAAATTGTAGGCAGGTAATGCCAAGTACAAAGGGTTTGAATTGAGGTGCTGCTGTGTTTAATCTTTGCTACGAGGAAAACTTTCTAACCATAAATTGTACAATAGATTATTTCTTTAGCATTAGGAGAATACTGTAGTGAGAATAAATGTAATAAATACTGTAATGTTCTTTTTATCTCTCCAACAGCGACCTAAAAAATCAACTAAAAAAGAAAAACCCAAGCAGAAGACAACTCCAAAAACCAAAAAGGGCACAAAGAATGCAAATGTCAAGAAAGCAGATAGTAGTACAACCAAGAAAAGTCAGAATAGCTCCAAAAAAGGTAAATCCCTCTTTCAAAAATTTAACAAAGCTGTACTAGGTAGACCAGGATTGTTTTCAGTAATCTACAAAGACCTGTGGAATCGGGTGGTTTCAAGTTTCCTAATCCTTACCACTGCCGTATGAATTTCTGTTTTTATGTTTACCATTGGCCATTGAAGCCAAGAACACAAACTCTGGGTTGAGCTCACATGGAAGTGATATCTCCTGGTCTATTTCCTATGGATCAAGCCATTAGAAAGATGTGGTAAATTGCTGTGAATCTTGAATTTTTATTCTTACAGACAACAAAGATAAGTCACTGTTGTAACTCTGTGGCAGAGGGGTTCTTTTTCTGGAAGAGTTCACCATAAATTACTTCAAACAGTATCCCAATTGACTGGACCAAATGATGCATTTAAATTCTGTAAAGACTCACATTCTCCAGTCAGTGGAGAAAGTATCCTTGTGTGGGTTGTGCTCTGTGAACAAGGCATATGCAGAATTTTTTTTGCAAAGGTTTCCACTTATTCTGAGGAAGTGCACCACCTCTTCAGTCCATTCTCTGTCCACTCCTTGGACAGTTGCTTGCATTGGCTCTCTAGCAGTTGCTTGCATTGGCTCAGAGGGGGAAAAACAGCCTTGAATGGAGCATCCTCAGGCAGCTTCTACAGTGAAGCCATTGTGATAGGACAGCAGCCTCATCTTTCATGCCTTCAGTTCAAACCTCTGCAATGGCTCTAACTGCCTTTCCCTCATCTGCTGCTTTCATGTCCCCTGCCAAGGCCCTGACAGGGACGGAGTGCAAGCAGCAGTCCCTCTCCCACTTAGAACTTCGGGGGCAGGTGGGCCCAATGGCAGAAGCTCTGCAAAGTAATTGGAGCCACTGATGCTTCCCCCCCCCTCCTTCTCAGGGCCAGGAGGCCTCGGCAAGTGTCACTGCCAAGCAGGCATCTCTCCCACACACACCTACTGCCTCATCTGTTGGTAAAAAGGTAAAGGTCCCCTTGCTCGAAAGCCAGTCGAGTCCAACTCTAGGGTTGCGGTGCTCATCTCTGATTCAAAGCTGAAGAGCCAGCGCTGTCCGAAGACGTTTCCGTGGTCATGTGGCCGGCATGACTAAACACCAAGGTGCACGGAACGCTGTTACCTTCCCACTGAAGTGGTACCTATTTATCTACTTGCAATTTGTTGCTTTCGAACTGCTAGGTTGGCAGGAGCTGGAACTATAGACGGGAGCTCACTCCGTCATGCGGCAACTCGGGTCTTGAACTGCTGAACTACTGACCTTCCACAGCCTGCAGTTCAGCATCTTAACCACTTGATAGGGAGCTCCAAAATACTGAAGGAGGACACGGGAGCTGCATTTGCACTTGGAGTCCACCATAAGTGATAGAATGTCCCATCTTGCTGTTCACATATTCAGCACTTCTTTGAAACATTTTTATACATTTTAGCTAACTTTTCTGGAGACGCATACACCATCTATACATCATTTTATAAAATTTTCTTTTAAATTAGTACGTAATGTAAATTCAAGACCTTTTGACCACATATTTTGCCATTGTTTCAACTGTAGTAACTGAAGATCTTTGCCCATTTTACCATATAATCTTTTATTTGTTCTTACTCTGTCTCAGATTTCAACGACAGTTTATACATTTTTGCAATAAAATGTTCATTCTTACACCATTGCGTTTCAAATTCCATCATTGTTCAAAACCACAAGACCTCTTATCCATTTCAAAACTTTCTAGTAGAGAAGATTTGTTAATGTTACAGTCTCCTTGTGTAAATTGTAACATTAACAGTACAGTTTGGTTACCATCTTTCATCTAAAAAATGCTTCCTGTGTTGATAGCTGCAAAGGTGTTTTCTGACAAAGCCTAGGCATATATTTGATCTTCAACGTGGTCTCTGTGCTTCACACCCATGGGATCTAGTGCGCACGCGCTGGATCGACCGGTGCTGTAGCAAGCTCTTTTAACGGATTTTCACGCCCAGTCCCTCAGGCATGCGCAGGAACCCCACCGGGCATGCCCAGAGGGGTGGGCGCGGACATCCCGCCAGTTCCTTTCTTACCGCCGCATTGAGTAGACCTATTTTTCATCGGTCAAATCAGTTCGCTTTTGGCTTTCGGCTCACAGCTCTTAGGAATTATTTCCTTATTCTAAATTTTCTCTCCTTTCACTTTTTATTTGTTCTTCAAAAAAACTTTTTAAAAAACCATTTTCTGCTGAGGGGGAGTCTACCGACTATCTCGGGCCTTTGGGCTATCCCCCCCCCCTTCAAACGTTCCCTTTTCTTCACTTTCTTTTATGGAGAAGAAGTGGGTTTTTCTCAATAGGTGCAAGGGTTGCGGCAGCAAACTTGCTCCTCCCGACCATCATACCCTATGCATTTTTTGTTTCGGAGAGTCTCACCGACCAGAGTCCTGTTGCCACTGTGCTTGTTCTTCTAATCAAATGCGGAAAAACCGAGCTGCGCGCCTTACAGTAGCGCTGCTAGAATCGGCCCTTACTCCTACCTCAGCGATGGAGGAGAGACCATCAACACCGACAGCTCCAGCATCGAAACCTGCCTCCGATGCCGACCAATGCTCCCTCTAAGCTATGGAGTCCTGTGAGCAAAAATGCTACTTTGTGAGCTACTGGCATTAATGTTGTGTAAGTGAGCAATTTGGCTACTGCATAAATTAGTTTGTTCTGGAGCCATCATTCCTGAGCCAAGACAAAAATGTGTGAGCTGGAGGCTAAGAAACTGTGAGCTAGCTCACACTAACTCAGCTTAGAGGGAACACTGATGCCGACCACCCGACACCGAAGCTCCTGGCATCGATGGCGCAATCTTCCGCTTCCACGCCAATCAAAAAGAAGGCCAAGGCAAGTAAGGATCACAAGTCCGTGAAGAAGGGCACCTCAAAGTCCCTTAAGGCGGCGAAGAAGGGGAAGGAAGCGGTGCCTGCACTGGGTGATGCCCCTAAAGTGCCTCCCGTTCCAACGGCAGTATCGATATCGGAGACCCAA